TCCATTTGTTTCTACAAGTATTGGCAGTAACAATCTAGAAACAATGTGAATGAACACCACAACAGCTTAAGCTGCAAATTTAGGAAAACACAATATTTATGTCACTGCCAATACTTTTGGCCACGACTGTGTGACCACTATATATATATATATATATATATATATATATATATATATATAAAATGTATTTATTCATTTGTATGTATATATCTGTATGCCTTTGGTTCATGAATTGGACATAAACTGCCTCTCACTTGAACTTTAATGAACATACCAAAGGGACCTTGAGCAAATATCAAGATTTTCAGTGAAAATTCCAGTTTATTCCTCACATATGACTTCACAAGAATATTGTGCACGAGTTATATAATACTACATGGCCATTTTTGTCCATTTAGAATTTGATAACCATTTCTCATTCACTTTTATGTTTTAAAAAAGGTTCAGGATATTGTTAATTAACCTAACCAGAAATGAACCTTTTGTGTTTTATGTAAGAAATAAAGTCACACATATTAATATGTCCAATAGCTCCAGCAAGTAAAACTATGCTGCTTTGAAACCCAGCAAATTACATGAAAATTATACACTCTCTCCTTTTTTGTTTGTTGCAGGAAGATCGGTTTTGGCCGGTGTTTCAGAGGCAATACCAGAAGCATGCAGAGATGAACAGAGATGAGGAAGCTGCTTCTCAAAGACTCAGAGAGCGGACGCTTTACCGATGGAGCTCCAGAGATTCAGTATTACTAACCAACCCACCACCCTCGACACTACAGCATCCTTCCACTGACGCAGTGACATCAGCACAAACACTTATCCACCACATCGATAGTCATGGCTCTTTTTGGATCCGTGTGGATGCTATGAATCACCTTTCTTTTCTAAAAAAAAAAAAAACTGAGTACAAACTGAGAGCTATGTAAAAGAAACTAGAGGACAAAATGTCAAAGCCACTCATGCCATGAAAGTGAAGAGCAGGGTGTTTGTGTACCTGAACTCTCATGGGTTGTAGTTTCACCAAGCATATGCTGAATACAATATGAATAGTGTTTTTCCATTCACTTT